AAAAATTGGTGTAGTTAATTTATTTTCCCAATTAAGAGATTATTATGATCAAAATAAATTAAAGGGTGTACTTTATGTGTATTTTGAGAAGTATTTTTAGTAGGCATATAATAAATGAGATGATTTTCATGAGTTTTTTTTCGAATTAATGTTAATTAATTAATTAATTACGGAAATAATGCTGGAAAAAAAGTATTTACCAAAATACTGCTGGCCCTTAACCACGGTCAGGGGTAAGTCGCCCAACCGTTGGGCGACTTATAAGTCGCCAAACGGTTTGGCGACTTATAAGTCGCCCAACGGTTGGGCGACTTACCCCTGAAATACGGTTGAAGGCGAGCAGCTACTGCCAGCCAGGCACGATCGTGCCTACAAGGGTACGCACGATCGTGCCTATGTCCGAAAACAGCATTTCATCTGGTTTTTCGCTCTGGTTCAACCCAGACTCATCTGTTTGCTATAAATAAGGTCTCCCTTCTCCTGTTAAAGTATTACGAACTAGATACAACACATTATAAAACATACAACACACGTCTTCACATTAAAAACACCTTATAAACACCCGTAAAAAACCTTCAAATCACAACCGGAATAACACAATACAATCATCATATATGCCATAACAAGTAATCATCTAATATTCATACTCGAACACATCAATACACCATACAATACTTAACAAGACAAAATACATCAAAACTTGTACATTGTTCGTACAACATCTACTGCATAAGAAAAACTACAATACAAAAGACAAACTACAAGTTCTCATCATCAGCTTCGTCATGGAGATGTTGCTGCTCATGTCTACGCCTACGGCGTTGTCGTGGTTGAAGAACCACTCTCTCATGTTGCGTCTGGGATGATGAAGCCGCGGCTGCACTAGACGTGGATGCCATCTCCTGAGATGGAGGCATGTGTATAAGATGTCCGTAGTCTACTCGGCCCAACACATCTGAGCACAACGAGGCAATGCCTGTCAGAGCATGTCCATACATGTCCACATCTAGACGATCTTTTCGCACATGTCGCTCTATTATGGCCGGTTTGGTGGCATTTTCCACATCTAACCGTTCCTCGTGGACCTTCATCCATCTCATTCTTAATACGGGTCGACTTTGGTCTTCCCTTTGCCCGAAGCATGGATGGATCGTGCACGATTTCGGGTCCATTGTAATTTGGCCAATAATCACGATCAGGAATCGGTTTGAACACCCTATGATATGTGGCGGCGTATTGGTCAGATGAGAAGAACTTATCCACAAAAGGACCATAAGACAAACTACGTTGTCTACACACGGCTAATACATGAGAGCATGGAATCTTGTATATCTGCATCTTTTTACAAGTGCAAGTTTTCCGTTGTAGGTGGACAGTTTGTTTTCTCCCACCCTTTCCCAACGTTCGGCCACCACAACCGGTTTCCACCTGAAATATACCTCTCCCTAAATCAAATGGAGTGACAATGTGATGCTTTGCCTTCTCTCTATTTTTTTTAATTAAATCTGTAATGTGTGGGGAGTACTCGTGGCCTTGTGTGAGCCTCAATTTACTGGTTTCACGCCTATGCACAAAGTAGGCATTAACCCGGTAAAAAGACACCTGGACCAACGCGGTAATGGGCAAATATCTAGCATTTTTCATGACGCTATTGAAAACCTCAGCTAGATTTGAAGTGATGGTACCGTATCTGTACCCGCCATCGTGGTGCAGCGACCACATTTCTGGAGGAATGTTGGCAAAAAATTGGCGTGCATCCCTACTCATTTCACCTATCTTCTTGAGCCCACCATCAATTTTTTTTTTTCTGATGTTGCCGTGCGGTCCACACAAAAAGATTTTTTAAATGAATGTCTTTGAAATGTGTGTGCACATTTGATGCAAGATGGCGGATGCAAAGCCTATGATGCGCATAAGGCTCCTCCCATGTACTGCCCACCTCATTCATTGCCCTGACAATACCTCCATGTCTATATGAAATGACACACAACTCCCTGTCAGTCACAAACTGCCTAATACATGCCATAAACCATGGCCAACTATCTCCATTCTCGGATTCAACAACTGCAAAGGCGACTGGGAAAATTTGGTTGTTCGCATCACAACCCATGGCCACGAGCAATGTACCCTTGTACTTTCCATACATGTGTGTGCCATCAATAGTAAGTACGGGTCGACAATGCTTAAAACCAGATATTGAGGCCTTGAATGCCAAAAAAACTCTTTGAAACATCATATAACCTGTGGAACCATTGGGGGGTGGGTACCACTGAACAACAGTTCCTGGATTAGAATGTTGGAGCGCTGTCATGAAACGGGGCAATTCGAAATATGACTTTTCCCAACCGCCAAATATTTGTGCTATGGCCTTTTGCTTCCCCATCCATGTTCTCCGGTAAGATATCGTATACCCATATTTTTCCTTCAACATCTCGATGATAGTATGCACTTTAAGAGAAGGATCAGTGCGAATAATGTCAACCACATCTTTACAGATGAATTCTGATGTCAAGGCCACGTGATCTGTAGTGTCGATGTTGCCTACACATGAAGCACAATTGTGAAGGTGTCAAGGTTGCCTTTGTTCTTTGTGGCACGTATTCTCCAAGGGCAATGACATTCTTTCTTCCTTTTGCATTGTGCCACCCATTTGTGTTTATCAGACTCTATCACCCGATAGAATTGGTTCCGTTTGATAGAATACAAGCTCACCATATTGATGACTTGTTCTTTGTTGTCAAACTGTTGACCGACCTCAAACTCACCATCGGGGGTAAACCTTTTCTCACCTGATCCACTCATCCACGCATCAGTAAAGCCTTCAGGGAGATCATACATTCTAGTGAAGTGGCTAGACGGGGCAGTTGATGTCACAGTATCACCATCATCTTCATCAGATTCTGTCATGTCGTCACCATTGATGTTCTCTTCTGCATCATCATCACTTCCCTGCCCATCCACAAATGATGCACCGTTGTGCAAATACCTGCCATCCTCCTGTATAACCATGTCTAGTACAGGAACCTTTGACAACTTCCCTGCATTCACCCCTGCAATGACATCATGCCTAGATACAACAACATTTGATGTCGATTGAGTAGCATTAACGTCAAAGCATTCCTCAATGTATACCTCCAGCGACGACATATCCTCCATCTGAATTATGCCCCACATATTTGTTATAGCTAGCTCATCAATGAGGGGCATAAGCATGTACTTTCCCCCGTTCATGGGAAATTTCATTTTCAACCGCAAAGAACGACTAGGATGAATCATTGTGGCTGCATGTATTTTTTGAAGGATCTCGAGCATGCAAGTGCCACGAGAAACCATGACAAAGCTGGTTCTACCACCTTCATGGCATATTTGCCCAGCATCCTCATAATAGTTCCCTCCCCAATGACACACGATTGGGAAGCTTGAGAAATCCATATTCTAATAACAATTCATTGTCCAAAATTCATGAGTACGCATCAATATACACACTTTATACACATTCAAATTTCCTAAATAAAAAAGCTACCAAAATTGTAATATATTCAAAAGTTGAAATTGACCAACAATTCACATCTCAATATGAAACTACCCAAATTTTGATAACTACATTCAAGTCTACATTTCAATATCCAAATTTAGCTACAATCAAGTCTATCCAAATGCCCAAATGTCAAAATACACATTAAAATTTACAATCAATTTAAAATCAAATTTCAACATTTCATACATATCCACATTTCACAACAACTCAATTCACAATCAATTCATAATCCAAAAATTCAAAAATTTAAACATTCAAAACCCTAAGTTCAAAAAGATATGAAATGGATTTGGATTTACCTAGAAGAAAGAAGATGAGTGTTGAAGAGGATGGAGATGAAGGATTCTTGGGAAGAAGGAGGAGACCTCGCCGGAGCTCGAGAATCACCGGTCGTCGCTCGCTGCTGCTGGGATCGTCGGTCGCTGCTGCTGGAATCGTCGGTCGCTGCTGCTCTTTCAAATTGGGGAGGAAGTGTTCTGTCTCGCTGAACCGACCCCGTTTTTACTTAAAGGAAAAGTCGCCCAACGGTTGGGCGACTTATAAGTCGCCAAACCGTTTGGCGACTTATAAGTCGCCCAACCGTTGGGCGACTTACCCCGACCATGGTTAACCCAGCAGTATTTTGGTAAATACTTTTAACCCAGCCATATTTTCGTAATTAATTAATTAATTAACAATAATACGGAAAAAAACTCGATTTTCATACGGAGTATTATTTATGCATTCTTTTAATTTTTGATGATTAAATTACCATTTAAAAGTATTTACTAAAATAATATGGAGTAATACTAGTATATTTTTTAGTTGAAACCTTCAAAAAATAGAAGTGAAATGTCCAAAACAAATAGGAAAGACTAAAAAGATAAAAATAAAGCTTAAATATGTTTTTAATCTCTGCAAATATGATGCACTTTGTTTTAGGTTCCTGCAATTTTTTTTCTAGTATGCACTATTTTGTTTTTAGTCATTCTCTAATTACAAAAGCACTCTACTTAGAAAAACTTTATTGTCAATTGCAAAAATTTAGAAATATTTAGATTTATGCTAAAATAATTTTTTTGAGGCTAATATGAGAGTTAAAATTATGTGAAAATAGGTATTCACATTTTAAAAATATATATTAAAAGTCTTCAAAAAAATAAAATTAAAAACTTTTTGAATAACATGACAAAGAATTAGAGGAGACATACTATCGTATTAGTTAGGATTATTTTGAGGTAAAGCAAAAGTTGTTATCATCAGTGATGGACTAAAAAGGAATCTAACATAAATTGCAGGGGCGAAAAAAAATTGCAGGGGTGTAAAACAAAATGTATTATATTTGAATGGACTAAACCATGCATATTTAAACCTACAAATAATTACCTATATTAATATATATTTACTGTAGGCCCTCCCAAACCCCCCTCCCCCGGACACCCCCTGGAGTAAAAAAAAGGTAACATAATCATTTTTTACTGATAAAGCACTAATTTTATTAAATTAACGCATCATTTGCCAATTGACTTACAATACAATCTGGCGGTATATAAAAAATAATATCACCCTCTGCCCCTAACAAAGTTGTCCTTGCAAGAATATGTGCCACCCAATTAGAACTTCTTCAATGTCATCATCTATCACCGAATCCAAATAAGAATCCTCATCCCCATCCTCCTCGCTCAATCTTGAAGCCACCACTAGGGAATCAGTTTCAACCTCCACACTTGGCCAGCCCATCCGTTTTGCCCACAACACTACTTCTCTGAGACCCACCGCTTCGGTAATACTCGCCAATCTGCTTTACACATTGGACTTCCCCCTTGTATAACTTTACCCTCACTATCCCGTGCCACCTAGCCCCAAGCTCTTTTACCTTGTCTTTCATCCAGCACCACATCCACATTAGTTTAATACCTCCCTCTACTGGTCTCCTCCACCGGACTGCCGTAGCAGTTGCACGAAATCCTCCCGCTTCCGGCCGTTGTGTCTCTACCCCCTGCATCTCTCTCCAACCACGCATGACAGATGCTCCAGCCTCCACCACCTGCTTAGGATTAAATTCCTCTCCCTTCCAAACTACCTGGTTGCGTGCCTTCCATATACTCCATAAAGTCATAATAAAAAAACGCAGAGGTCGTCTGTCCTTAATTTTTCAAAATAAACCTTAACCCACTCTAAAAAAGATGTCGCCTGTCTTTGAAACTTTACACCCAACAAACGCCATACCTCTTTCACCACGCTACAATTTTGGAACAGGTGTAGCTCGTGATCCTCCTCTCGTCCACAGATCTTGGAACTCGGATGGACATCCACCCGTCGGTGAATAAGGTTACTTGTCATAGGATGACAACCTGACATGACCTGCCAAAAAAATATTTTAACCTTAGGTTGAATAAATAAGTCCCATACCCGGGTCCAACCAACCCATTGACGCTCCAACACCACTCCCCGGGCTCTACGATAACCACTTCTCACCGTATACTATCCTTTAGGATCATCAGCCCACAAAAAGCCATCATCCGGTCTCCTCCTGCTAATAGGAATGCTAAAGATCGCAGAACATTCCGAATCAGAAAAAAGAACTCTCACTCTAGACCTATTCCATGCACTTCGTTAATAAAGCCGCCACATTCATGTCAAGGATCCCATTCGGTGGTCTCGAAGTAATCCTTCCACTCCCAGGCCCAGGAAGCCATTTATCCTTCTAGACGGAAATCTTCTGCCCTGTACCAACTCTCCTCCTTAAGCCCCCTTCAACAATATCCTGGGACGCATGGATACTGCTCCAAATAAATGAAGGGTTATACCCAATGTTTGCCTGCAAAAAAGAAGTATTGGGATAATACTTAGCCTTAAAAATCTTCCCAACAAGAGACTCGGGTTTTGTAATTAAATTCCAAGTCTGTTTTCCCAGCATCGCCAGATTAAATTGGGGTTTTTATTTGAATATTACTAATTTTGAACCAATTACAAAAAAAGTGAGCACTTTTAAAAAAAGGGCAAAAAAGTGATCAAGAAGGTCATATTAATGTCATTCCCAAGATTTTAATGTCACTATTCTGTTTTAATGTCACTATCAAATATCACTGCCGCCACCGCCCGTGTAACTGTGGCCACTGCCCGTGTCACTGCGGCCACCGCCCGTGTCACTGTGGCCACCGCCCATGTCACTGTGGCCCCCACCCGTGTCACTGTGGCCACCGCCCGTGTCACTGCGGCCACCGCCCGTGTCACTGCGGCCACCGCCCGTGTCACTGTGGCCACCACCCGTGTCACTGTGGCCACCACCCGAGTCACTGTGGGCACCGCCCATGTCACTGCCGCCGTCTAACATGTCACTATGTCACCAGAAAGTTTTCCGGCGACTTTTTTCGATGAAAATGTGATACAAACTCCGGCCATACATTCTACTCTCGAAACTGTCAGCCACCGACACCTCGACAGTCACCATCCCCAATCCAAACCATGTCCGGTTAACGGGAAAAAACACCAATACATCCGCACCCCGCCACCTGCTGCCACCACCGCACCAACTCCGGTAACCGCCGCAACCATACGGTCCACATGGCTTACCGCCATCATCAATAGCTCGAAGCCTACCCTCCTCAGCCCCCAAATTGCCTCCCCCAGCCCGTACCCCCTCCCAAGTCCCTTCGTACCTTCCCCTGGCCCAATTCTCGTCCCAAGCCATCGTAATACTCCCCAACCCCAACCCTACCCGCTTCAATTCCATCTGGATCTGGTCACCCGCCAGTGATTCTCCACGCCGCCGGAGCGCCGCATGACATCTAGATCTGGAAACAACGAATCATCTGCTATAGCCGTCGGGGCGAGGACGACGAAGAGCAGGGCGGCGGCAGCGATCCATCTGCTCTGTCAGCGGTGGAGCTCCATGTATTTGCGTCGATTTGTTGCTTTGTCCTCCGGAGTTCCATGGCCTTGAGCGCACCAAGAAGGAGAGCGGAATGTTCAGCGCAGGAAGAAAGAAAACGTAAGTTGTCTGGGCTATGAGATGTTTTACGGGTCACTTTTTAGGTAAATAGAAATTTAATCATATTTTGGTGTACTAAAAGGTGGAGAGTAATACTTGTATCATTCTTTCGATTAAATTCCCGCAATGATCTAAAGCCCATTCCACCTTTGCGCTTTGGTTTGCACAATCACTGTCAGCTCATCCAACGAATTCATAGTAACTTATATTCGTTTTTTACACTTAATTGAATATGACACTATATAATACTCCCTCCGTCCCAAAAACAATTTCCCAGTCACTATTCATTGGTCAACTTGAATCACTCGTAATCTTTTACTTTTTATATCAAATTTTTATCAAATTTAAATTTTATTGATTAGGCTTTGTAGCGGTTTTAATGTAGTTTCTGAATATGTAAATTTTATTTACTAAAAATAATCCGAGTGTGAACAGGGATCGAGTTGCTTTATCGTCAGTCAAGCATCGTAAACCGAACGGGAAGTTAATTTTGGGACGGAGGTAGTAGTACGGAGTAACTATTAAATATTAATTTTAGGGAAAACTGTCAAATAGGTCCTCGAACTTTCATAAAAAGTTCAATTAAGTCCTTCTATAGGAGCTCTGTCCGGCCTTTGCGATTTGGGGCAGTTCTCGGTGGAATTTTTTGATGAAATTTTTTGAGCATCTTATTAACCAAGTCTAGTTTACTCATACCAAATTTCAGCTAAAAATTCAATCGGGAACACATTCAAATTACTCCCTCCGTCCCTTAAAACTTTGCCAACTTTCCCTTTTTGGTTGTCCCAATAACTTTGCCACTTTCTATTTTAAGTAAAGAATTTGTGGTTCCAGTTAATTCTCTCTCCTCTGCACAAACCTCAACCACACAGTTTTTACTTTATTAATCTCCGTGCCGGTCAAACTTGGCAAAGTTTCAAGGGACGGAGGTAGTAATTCTTGAAGATAACTGCGCATTTTTGAGTTCTCGAATTGATTTGAATGCGCTCCCGATTAAATTTTTAGCTGAAATTTGGTATGAGTAAACTAGGCTTGATGAATAAGATGCTAAAAAAATTTCATCAAAAAATTCCATCGGGAACCGCCCCAAATCGCGACGACCGGACAAAGTCTCCTATAGAAGGACTTAATTGACTTTTTTATGAAAGTTCGAGGACCTATTTGACAGTTTTCTCTTAATTTTATTTGTGTAAATAAATTTTATATTGACGGTTCTTTGGAAAAAACGATAAGGAAAGAATGACATGATTGGCAAAAGTTTTATAAGGAAATAAAAAAGGAAAGAAATGCAACTCTGAAGTTTCTCACTATCACCCTTTCAAAAAAAAAAGTTTCTCACTATCACAGACTCACAGGGTTCGTATTTTATACTTTCCGCTGAATACTTCTTTCTCACTAATAAAAGCGTCTCCATCCCCGCCTCCAATCATTTTTTTCCAATTAAAGAAATATTATTTCTACCATATTCTTATACCGAGTATTGTATATATATACTGTGTCTTCAATAATTTGTTTCTACGCCAATTGCCCCTTGCTGAATCTTCTTCTCCTCTAGCTTTCATATATTGCCTAAACCCCTGAATCGGCAGATTGGGTTGTTATTCGATTGCTGATTCAGAGGGTTCCTTAAATTTCTGTCCAGAATTTTCAATCATGAAAGGCAAAGGAGTGCAGGTTCTGGAGGTCAAGAGAGATGGATTCTCTTCAAATTCTCAATTGGGTTTTCAATGGAGTCTCCAAGATGCGAACTTTTGCCCAGGTGGGCTTTTTGCCTCAGTGGGGCAGATGGGGGGCAGTATGGATTTCGGCGTTTCATCTCCAAACCAACCAGACTCTCGGGACAGTAACGGGGGATTCAAGCTTCCCAATTTCGATTTGTATTTGAAGTACTTCTCATCACTTGAGGGTTTTAGGGTTCTTGGAGTTCCTGGGGAGGAGGAAGGGGCTGGCAAGAAGAAGTCCAGGCTGAAGCTTAAGGTTAAGGTTGGGAATCCTTCACTTAGGAGGTTGATAAGTGGTGCAATTGCAGGGGGGGTTTCAAGGACTGTTGTAGCACCCTTGGAAACCATTCGGACTCATTTGATGGTTGGGAGTAGTGGGCATTCAACTACAGAGGTGTTCAATTCTATTATGGCACATGAAGGGTGGACTGGATTGTTTAGGGGAAATTTGATTAACGTGATTCGTGTTGCACCTAGCAAGGCCATTGAGGTAGACTTCTAAGTACAAGTATTGTTTTAAGTTTGATTGACATGTTTGTAAATCTGTGTTTTCATTCGGTATAATTATTATACTGTTATTTTCTTGACACATTGATTTTGTTGTTGGAAAAATTTAGTCTTTTCTGTTTTAGGCTTGATGGATGTGTCGGTTAAGTTGACCTGTTATTTCATATTTGTTGTTGGAAAAGTTTAGTCTTTTTTGTGTTTAGGTTTGATGGATGTGTCGTGTAAGTTGACCTGTTGTTTGTGGAAATATTTTTTTGTTGGAAGGATTTGATCTTTTTTTGAGGTTTGATTGATATGTTGGTTAAGCTGTGCCCTATTCCACTTTATTTATATATTGAGAATTATGGCAAAATATGATCTTTTTTAAGCTTTGATTGATATTTTAGTTAAGTTGTGCCCTATTCCACAGCTTTTTACAGAATATTATTTTTTTTTGGCAACATTTGATATTTTTAAGGTTTCATTGATATGATGGTTATGTTTTGCCCCATTCCAAATTAATTGAATTGTTGAGATATTATTTTGGTTCTTGACAATGAAATTTTCTGAATTAAGTAGTCATGAGAATTCCAAAATAAGCTTTTATGAACTTATTAAAGTACATACATTATGTCCAAAATTGCTAAAGTAGAATATTTTAGGCATTGAGCTACTGTCACGCCATTGTTGCACATTTACTCTCATTTGGGAGAAGTTGTTTACTGTAGAGATGCATCATGTGCACTTGCTTCTTTTTATGTTGGCATGGGAATCAACATAGCTGTCAAGTTTCATCTTTGTTTATAAAACACTGTTATGTACTTTCCCCTTTTGAACATGCTTATAGTAGAATGTTTATCTTGAATGTGCAAGAGGTTCACTTTTTAAAAACTTTGTAATATTTTTTTGCTGGCTGACAGTTCGTGCTAGGTAACATTATAACTAGTCCTAGATATGAAACTTGGAATGGTTTTGTTTTCATTTCAAAAGTAGCAAGAGTATAGCAACATTATTTTCATGTATGATTAGTTTTTGAAGTCTTGAGAAAATTAATGCCTCACAACATTGTTTTTCTCTCTATTTTTTTTTTTTAAATTATGCACCAGAAGTTTACTTTCCCTTAGATTAGAAAACTGCAATCACTGCATTGATTGGTGTCATTCTTCAGGGGTGAAGAAGAAAGATCAAGTCTTTCGCACTATGCCTTGCCACTTTAATGACAGTGAATTCAGGATGTTTTTACTAGGTCTAGAATTTTCTGGTCTGGTCTCTGTGTTTTTTATAATTGTCCAAGCTTGGTCTGGTCTGGGACTGAAAACAGTCCAAGTAAAAACATCCTCAATTTTGATACTGTTTATACTTTATAGCATGGCTGCTAAATGTCGTTTGTGCTATGCAGCTTTTTGCTTATGACACGGTAAAAAAGAACTTGTCACCCAAACTTGGTGAGCAGCCTAAACTTCGTGTTCCTGCTTCATTAATTGCCGGAGCATGTGCTGGCGTCAGTTCAACCTTGTTGACATATCCTCTTGAGTTGGTGAAGACTCGACTTACAATTCAGGTTGATTTCATGACACTTTTTTTGTTTGCAGACACAAAACCATTGTTTGAATGATATATGGTCTATTTGGACCCTGATAATTAATAGAAAAGGAAAAAGTGTTTAGGAAAAACTAGAAGAAAGAAAGCAATAAACTGTTGAGGATAGACAGTTTATGATTATATCTTAGACTAGAACTCAGTGCTTTTTATTGACAGTTGACACTCATTTATTATTATATCTTAGACTTTTATATAAATACTTTTTTATATACATATTATCTAATTGTGTGTAAAATTCAAACAAAAATAGACTACTCATATTTTGAGCTCATTTAGTTGGACAAGAGATGGGTGAGCCTGTTAAATATGCTGAAATTGGGAAAGTTATGATTGGATTGGCTGAGTTGAGTAAAGAGAAGATCCTAAGGGAAAAAATTGGCCCTCTTCAACAAATTCCGCCAAAAGTACCTCTAACCTTACTTTTTTTCATTACTAACCAATTCAACGCATGAAATAAAAAAAATGTTTGGTGAAAAATCTTGCTCATAAACCTCATTGGCCAAACAAATCCGCCAAAACTACCTTTAAGGCTCTAACCTTATTTTTTCATTATTAACCAATTTAACACATGAAATTTAAATAAAAAGTGTTTGGTGAAAAACCATGCTCATAAACCTCATTGGCCAAAAAACAAGATTACTAAACAGGCACTTTGTTTTCTTTTTGCATTTTCCAATGTAAAACCAAAGACAACATAATCACTTTACTTAAGCTTAATCCCTTTCTCTTGCATTTCTTGTGATCCAAACATATCCGTAGAGTTGAATGAATGATTGTCTTGAAACTGTAGAGAGGAGTGTATGAAGGTCTATTTGATGCATTCGTGAAGATTCTGAAAGAAGGTGGGCCGAGAGAGCTCTACCGCGGGCTCACTCCGAGTTTAATCGGAGTGATTCCGTACGCTGCAACCAACTACTGTGCATATGACACCCTGCAAAAAGCATACAAAAAGATTTTCAAAGAAGAGAAAATCGGAAACATCGAGACCCTGTTGATTGGATCCATGGCGGCTGCTATTTCCAGCACTGCCACCTTCCCTCTAGAAGTGGCTCGTAAGCACATGCAGGTAGGTGCTGTAAGTGGGAGGCAAGTTTACAAGAATTTGATCCATGCCCTTGCTAGCATCCTTGAAAAAGAAGGCGTGCCCGGTTTGTATAAGGGGCTGGGACCCAGCTGCATGAAGTTGGTGCCAGCTGCTGGGATTTCTTTCATGTGTTATGAAGCGTGCAAGAGGA